TATTAAATGAATACCGTCGGAACTAGACATGTGCGAGATCAGTCCTAGTTTCAATAGCTGGAACTGGGACAAAAAGTAAAACTTTACCGAGATCGGGATCCCAGACTATATGATATCCTTAGCACTGTGATTTTTTGAGTGAAGTTTTTCGTACATAACAAATCAATTTATTATTTTCATTCTAATATATTGTAATACAGAAAAAAACACATCATAACTATATACATGCTAATATTAAAAAAAATTAAACAGTTTCATCATTATGAATATTAAAATATCTTTGTCATTGTCTCATTGCATTTGTTCACTAGATATCGCTTTATCATTTTTAGACAATCATCCTTTTTTTTTCGTTTGTGAATATGACTGTGAAAAGTCCTTTGATAATTCATATTTACTTGAGATCAATGATAGAGAAGCTGCCCCTTCTAGTGATCTTTTCTGATTTAGTTCACAAAATCATTTTAAATCAGTTAAAATTTTATTTAAAAACATGATTTTATCAATTTTTTCAGTTCCTAAATGTGTTTCTTTTTCCAGTAACTGTTGCACCTGAGTAGACAGGTGGCGGAATCTGGACTAAGAACATACTAAATTCACTGTGATTATCATCGTAACTACTCAAAAAGAAGCTATTGAAACCAAAGAAACTTGTTTCTGCACATCTCCAGTCGGAACTTTTTGAAAAGCGTTCACTAGCACGAGGTGTCCATCTATATGTTACTATGAAATGAAGAAGTGTTTCAGAATACAAGCTTCTTTACTAGTTTTGAAGTAATTAAAGATCATATTCTATGAGATTCGTCTTCCTGCATTGTAATATTGATGAATACAAAAATTTTACTTTGTTTCACAAAGTCTTCTACTATTATTTTGGTTTGGATATATGTGAATTTGATAAAAGTTGCTCTAGAATTCATCCAAATATAATATATGAATGAATTACCACTATTTTGTACAATTGGTGTTTTAGAATATCTACGTTATAATTTTCGTTCTGATCGAACGATTTTAAAGTGGTTTTTCTAATTCTATTCCTCTTGTAGTGTTCCACATCTACACTCTTTTTCGTTTTTATGTACAGTGATACAAAACCACCACTCCTACAGGCTAGAAAAGAAAATCAATATACGAAATACTAGAGAACTTTTTCATATAAAAAACGTTTATGTTTTCTTATTTCTATATTAGAGAGAAAAGGATCCGAGTACTCAAACAATAGTATGTTTACTCACTTTGTACAATAATATTTTGAAACTTACTCGATCTATAATTCATGAATGATTGTTTTGATTTCATTCAAACTTTCAGATTAAATAGAGCTCAAACAGTTACATAAGTGATAACGATTTCAATCTTCTAACTTTTACTATTCCGAATATATTCAAATTATACTACAAAACGTACATTGACGCTTTTTCCGGAGATATCTTCAGTTAAGCCAACTGAAACATATTTTTTTCAAATATAATTTAACTCAGAAGAGTTCAATGAACAAATCTGAAGGTATTGTGAACTGTTCTTGACTACTCACTTCTCATAAAGAGGTACACAAATGACTCGAGCCTTGTTATCGAATTAAATCAATTTAATCATTGAATTAAGCAGACATTTAACTTTATATTATGCATCTCACTTAATAGTCAATGAAGTATTGGCAAAATTTTGCTGTATAATATAGGCACAATGTATAATCAAATGTGCTACTAAAAAATTGTTTACACCTATTTTCATTTTTTCGCACCACTTGTACTAAAAAGTTGACATGCACTCATATATATTACGTTTTATTTTGTCAAAACTTTTGAATTTTCTTTTAATACTTTGATTTTCGGTTGCTTGATAATAATTTAAATATTCTTTTTCTTTTCAATCCTAAAATATTGGATAGAGAATAGAGTCCTGCAGGATAAACTTCTTCGAATTGTTCTGTAAAATCACGTTTGTGCCATTGACTGAAAGGCAGCTGACTGCACTTGTGCAGTAGTCGACTTATTACTTTTCACTCGCTTGGTAGCTGTGATAAATTTTTCTTCTCGACGCATTAGTCACGATTTACGTCAGCCACTCATTCTTCATAACTAAACATAATTTTGAAATGTGAAAACATTTACCGAGATGGTGAGGATGTGGCAGATGTAAATCTCAAATTCTTTGTTTTTTACAACTCGGTTCCGTTGGAGGCTATAAAAATCGGTAAAATTATAGTCAACAGCTGAAAGTTTCCTTGTATGGTCATATCGGACTCAATCTGAAAAATACCATTGATATTTCAGATGCTACATGCAATAGTTTTCTTTTATGGTAAAATTAATTCAACTTCATTATTTCTTAACTTGTCAGCTGAGCTAAAATATCAATAGGCAACTGAAATTCATTATGGTTTCTTGTATGGGAGTTTAAGATTTAAAAATTGCAGGTATCGTACGGAAGGCTGTTTTGACATTTTTTGGACTCGAATAATTAGTCATCTTTTCTAGTTAGGCTTTGCTCGAATAGCAATCCAGTTCTTTTTTTTATGTTATTTATTTAAATATTAAGATATTTGTTACAAACAAATAGTTTCAAGTGTACGACACGTTTTGAGATAAGAATAAAAAAATTCGAAACATTGTTTTTTTTTTCTATATTGTCCTATGGAACGAAACAAATGTGATTTTTCGGGATTTAGGACACTAAAAGGAATTAAGTATAATGTTCGATTTTTCAGCTAATTTACGTTTTTGATAAATCGTTACAAGCGTTATTATCATTGATTAATTGAATTTTTTCGTTTAATGTAAAGTCATGTTTGTAACATCATTGTTTTCTCTGATATGTAGAGTTATAACAAGCAATGAACAGCAGTTTTAATCCTTTCTTGCCCTATGGCTCCGATAAATACCATTTAATGAAAATTTGATTCTTTTAAACTATGAGACATTTAGAAATGGATCTTATATCAACTTAAGGTCTATATATTATGGACTTCAATTCAACAATCTGAATCTAATCTTTATTATAAAAATAATTTCTTATGTTCACTGAATATATAAGGTTAAGGCACGTACACTATAATTCACAAGAGAAAAGCTTGTTTGTTGGATTTGATTCAATCTATTCCTGTGTATATTAGGGGCCATAAGATTGATGTTATTAAACGAATTGTCCTTCCAAACTGTCAGGTTTAGCTAAAGGCAAAAAACGGTTAATACATTAGCAAGAAATGATAAAGAGAAGTGGGAGAAAAACACGTGCACAAGTATTCATTTAAAAGAGAATAAAATAGTAATCAGGCACTATAAAAATAATACTTAAGTTTAGAGTAGGGAGATATTCACTAATAGAGATTCTACTGTATATTTCAAAATGAAAATTTAATAAATTCATAATAGAGAAAAAATATTTTTCAGAGCAAACTTGTATCCTTGAAGAAAGTTATCTCTCCAGGCATCTTTTTATCCGACTATTCTATTTTCTTGATACTACTTAATCCTTTTCTAAATAACAGATTAAAGGATATGTGAAGTTACTTTAATCTAGATGATTTATAGAAATAAGGTTTGCAAATTCTAATCATCTCAATGCTTTTCATTTGTTTGTTGAACAAGAATTAAGATGAATACTTATGATAAAAATTCAAGTATTTCTATTATTATCCTTATTGTATGTAAAATAGATTCATATTGAAGAAAGATTCTTTGTATTCGTTTCAACGAACCCTAAGAAAAAAAATAATGTACATTTTTATAAGATAAACTGTATTCAAAAGCATTGATGTTTCTTATTTTTTATAACACAAGATGATAAGCAACATGATCCAATTGGATATTTTTTTTTTCATACAAGACATAAAGATTTTATTGAGAATACATATTCAATATCAAACCTAGCTATGTATTCTTGATATGAAACCTTGAATAAGAAGTATTATTTCCATTAGACAACGAATATATTGACAGAATTCTCATGAAACACTTTGAGATAATCTATGATAATAGTATGTAATTCATGTTGTGTAATTTTAATAGTAAAAAATAATACGAATCATTTGGAAGTAAATCTATTATGACGATCATTATATAATTATCAACTGTCTATTATTTAGTCAATAATAGGAAAAAAAAAACGATTAGGAAAACTTTGATAAGAATTCTTGACACTTGGATCTGATAGTAAATGTCAACAACCTTGATTTTAATTACAAATATGTTATGTTATTTCCGAGTCTATTAGGGACATATATTAATAGAACCATTAGCAATTAGAAATATCATTAACTTTTTCTGCATAGAATTATATTCTACAAGAAAACATTGATTAAAATCTTTCAAAAAAGTCGTACAAGTGAGTAGTATGTAAGGCCTTTTTTTTGTAAAGTAATAATAAGGAACTAATGGATGATTTCTGAGAAAATTATATTGATATGAAGTGCATATTTTTTTGGTAACAGAATAGCTTCTTATGAATCTATTATTACATTCAGATAAAATAAACTGTAAACCAATTAATCAATGTCACATATGTTTGATAAATTTATACAGACGAATGTTTATTTTTTTTTCTTTTTTTAAAAGAAAAAAAGTTTGAAAATAAAATAAACGAAGTCTTTTTTTTCTCTTTCAAGTCATTATCAGAAGAAAAAGATATGAAATAAATGAGTTTCTTTTCAAAACATTCTTTTATATAAAGAATAAAAGAAAACAATTTGTATTGATGAAAAAATTTTTGTTGGCACGAGATTCAATGACACACATCCATTAAAAAATCAATTTTGACATGTCTGAAAATCTATTCTATTGCTTTCATTGACATACGAATCGATCAACAACATGTGTCAAGAGTCAAACAAAGAGACACATACATACAATAGAAAAGCGCATCGATCTTGTGTGACACACATACATACACATATATATATATATATAGATATAGACATTAGCAACTATTATTGGGAGCCTATCAGTCCTCCTTATTGATACCATCATACGTCAGCTGTTGCTTTTGTTCACGAAATTACGTCAAATTGAAATTCTATGTTGCTTCTGTGAACCGATTCCAGATACATGATTTATCAGATGAAGATTATGATAATCATATTGAGGAAGAATTTGTGGTTTTCGTAATAATGTTAATTTAGGATTTTCTAATACATGATCAAAATAAAGTAAATGTTTTATATTTTGTGGTGATCGACGTAAATGCCAATGTCGTCGTCGATGTTTTTGACTATTAAATAATGTAAATCCTAAACAACAATTTCGTACTTTTGAATTTTTAGTAAAATCAATTCTTGAATTCAACGATGATGAAGAAGAGGATGATGCTGAATACCATGAAGGCATTTGCATAAGTGTATATGATTGTCCCGACAATTGATGTTGATTTAGATCGTTGGTATTCGAACAAATACGATTATGTTGTTGTATATGAATAGATGCACGATGATGTGCAATAGCAGCGGCTATCAAATCCTCTTCATTTCGAGTAAGAAGAGCTGATACTCCACTCGTACTAGTCTCCGATTGAAATCGGGCAAGACGAAGTACCAATAAGTTTAGAGACGAAGCCATTATGGCTAAACCGAATAAAATAAATGATACAGTAAATACAAAATAACCCCAACGAGAATAGAGTGATTCTCCAGACCGTTGTACACTGGCCAATGGAACCAAATCACCAAAGCCTAATATAATAGATTTAAACAAACCAACATATTAAAAAAATAACTTCGAAAAAAAAATTGCCAGCTACCTATTGTCCAAAAAGTAACAAATGAATAATAAATTGATTCAAAATATGTCCATTTTTCTTGTTTACAAAAAATAAGTGAACCACCTAGTATCAGCATTGTTGTCATACCAAATTCAACGGCAATTAATTCAAAACTAGATACTTTATGACGACGAAATCTCAGTAAACGTTTTAAACGTGACAATATAAAAGAAATAATTGTATTTAATCGTTCACCAGTCGATTGAAACATAATTAAATTAAGAGGTCTATGAAGAAAAAGAAAAAAATCTCTGAAATAAATAATGATATATATTGATATAAACTTACACTCCAGCAACTGTATAAGCCATACAAAAAATTTTACCACCGACTAAAAACAAATAAAAATTTTTTGTTTTTTCTTTTTAAATATAAAACATACTTGTCTTTGGCGTTGTATGTCCATAACCTAAATAAATAGTTTTTATTTGAAATTAATATCATGGAAAAATTACCAATAAGAGTCACAACTAATATTGAAAAATAGAAAGCACCAGGAAATGTCCATTGTTTAGTTGTTCCAGTACGCACATGTCGATTTTCAAATATAGCTGTTGTTAAACTATGAAAAGCACTTTCATTTTGAATTGTATCATTTTTATATAAAATGCGAGCCATTCGCTGTCTTAATGTAGCACGAATGATAGCTTCTTCTTTCGATTCCACTGAAATATGAGATAACAAATAATTGCAATATAAATATATTCACAAACAAACAAACAAACAAACAAAGAAAACTTACAAGCATCAAATACAGCAGCACCAAACATTAAGTAGGCAAGCACAATGAACATAAGTACAAATGTGCGTACGTTTTCTGTGCCGAAAATCATTCGATAGATGATGGACTCGAACCCTGAGAGTCAAATATCTTATACCAATATTCGACAAGAGAATATCATTATAATAATATGATACTCTATCATATCTAAAGTTCATTAATAATGATAATTGAACAAGACGATTTAACAGTTGAAGAAGTATTTCTGCGCATTGAATAATTTTTTTTTCTTTCTTATAGAAATTCTCTGACTCTCTTAATCATATGTCATTTGAAATAATGAAAGTGCTACTACACTTATCTACCGTAGTAACAGTCAAACAGTCACATCATAAAGAATCGAAGAACAAAAGAAAGACGAGAAAACGAAGAACAAGAATAAGAAGCACAAGAAAAATAAGATAGAAAAAGCATAGAGCATCTTCCTTGAGTTTCTTGGGGTGATAGCGACGATCCGAGAAAAAAAAAGAATAATGAAAACATTTTTCTCTATTTTCTCAGCATGCGCCTTGTTGTTAGTGGTAGCAAGAGTAATGGCGATCCCCTCGCGTGCTCGGACTCTGACGGCGATCTAACTATAGAATAAATAATATTTTTTGCATTAGTTTAACACGCCCATTTCTATAAATACTCATCATTCATTACGTTTAGATATAAACTGTATGGAAACACATTCTTATCATAATCAGATACTGTGCAATCAACTACAAAATATTGCTGTGCATTCGTGTATTCACGTACACGAGCAAACATCCTTAGAACAACACTAGCTAAGCTCCGGAGAATAGTTTTTATAGATACCTGATGTTAATAGAGATAAGCATTCTTTTGTTTTTCTGTGATTGTTCGACAGCATTTACTTAAACCTGGATGTTGCCACTTGAAGAACAAAGTAATAAATTGTCATACTACCCATTTTAAATTATACAAGCAATGCATTATATAATTGAGAAAATAAAAAAAAAAACGCATTATGTATATAACTCTACTAAGAGTATTTCTTTAATTTATAATATTGTTTGAATGTTTGCATTTATATGCATGTGTGTGTGAACTGTTCGTTTATGAATTCAAAAAGAAACGTCAAAGAAATGAATTCAAAAAGAAACGTCAAAGAAATGAATTCAAAAAGAAACGTCAAAGAAATGAATTACATATTACAAAGAAAATGAAACCTATAATGTAACTGTACCTTTGAAATTTTTTATTCAAAACATCCTTGTTTTCTTCTCTCCTCTATTAACAGAATAATATCATAGGCCTCGCATTCTAAGAATTACCACGAGAAAAGGAATAAAAGAAAAACTTATGGAGTTGTTTCTCTCTTGGACAATCTGATTGCTATTTTTTTTTTTTCTATAAGCAAATTTTCCCATATGCATATAATTGAAAGTCTTCTATCATCTTCTCTAATCAAATTATTCAACACATGACAATCGAATTTCTAACTGTATATAGATTAATGATATCTAAAAATTAATAAATCTATAAGTTTTTTCAATTCTAAACTGTTTAAAAAAAAATCAATTAATTCGATCAAATAGATAACATTTATGTGACTTACAGAAAATGATAATATTTGAGTTTGGTTTTAATTAGTAGAAAAAAAATCATAAGGAAGATTGGTATGTTGGTTGATCAAATCTCGAATAAAGAATTTCATGTCATATCCCAATGGAAATATGCTTCATTTTCTATTTATATATATATATATATTTATTTATTTAGGAAAACTAATCAACAATAGAATTCAAGGCATACACGTCCATTCATATGTGCGTGCTAGCTTTTGCATCTACGCTTCTTAACTATCATTATTTTGGTTTTTTTTTTATATTTCTTTTATTTTGCTATCTCTAAATATTCTCTTTCTATTGTATAATTCTAGTAATAAAAATATTCACTCATTTAATTAATCTATAGCGCATGTATATTTTCTTTGATCTACTTCGAATTTAATTATAGATTATATAGTTTACGGAAAAGACAAACTAAAGCATGATTGAAATGGTACGGTTTTGCATAATTAATTATCATCAACAAAAAAAAAAAAAAGAAATAAAAGCTAAACTTGTCATCGGGTGCTTTTTTTTTAATTCTATTTCTTCTAACCAAAAATATACGTTTTACTTAATTGAACTCATTTTACACATGATTACTTATGATAACAAAAAAAACTAACAATAATAAGAACAATAATTGTAAACGAGATGAACGGTGAAAACATGTCTAGATACACATGCACACATGCGCAAATACCGAAATTAATTCTCTACTATCCAAGATTCTCAGACTTCTCTTTTCTTTATTTTTTCACTCAAACTTCATAGATCCTTACAGTCATATATAATAAAAAAAAATGAGAAAGACTAGTAGAACCTTGCAATATTGATTTGCTCAAGTATCATGTTTACTCAAGATGATGCACACTACATATAAAGAAATCTTTGATGTAAAATAAAGACTTACAAAAAAGATATTCAATGATTAATAAATACATTTCAAAAGATAACAAAAAAGAAAAAAAGAATTTTTGTTATTGGATTATTAAATTTTGATGTTTATATTAACATATCTAATTTTCCCTGAAGAGAAGAAACTCATTCTCTCGTGTATACTGTTTTTTTTTATTCATTATTATAACGGGTGTGACAGCTGTTACGGATTCTGTCAACAAGACATTGACGAATAGTAGTGTTAAACGTTCTTGTTCTATGACCATACCAAATAGTATATCGAGATATATAAAAACAAGAAAAAAGCGATATGATAACAAGTGTGGTTAACAAAGTCAATGTTTGTGAATATATAGATATATATATTTTTTTTTGTATGAATAACGATTTTTTTTAATGTCAAAATGACATATAATCAACAGATAATTTAATAAGATAAAGATTTATTAGCAACTGCAGTATTTGTTTTAGATAAGCAAGTTTTAAACATTAATTATCAAGATGAAATACTATCATTGACTGACATGAATTTAGATGAGGATTCCTTCGCTGTGAATCTATTTATTCATTGTTTAATTTCAAAATTAATAAAAGAAAATATCTCATGTCTTATGAAAATGTCATACTGATTTTCATTAATTTAATTTAATTTAGATCAAAAGTTGTTTTTTTTTTAATATTACTTAATAAAATTTATATTCGAGATGCCTGGAAACATGTTTGTTGATTTTATATTATGAAATATTTGAGTATAAGATAATATGTATTTGACTAATCTCATAATTCTAAAGCTTCAGGAGATTGTTTTGTCAGCAAACGAATTATGATAATGAATATTGTGTAGATGACAGCTATAAACAAAATAATTTCATGTGAGCCAATTGTTTCTTATATATATCTCTAAATAATCATTCATTATAATCATTGACTTCTTTCTATCTTCTACAATAACTTCCAACAATTAACTTATAGAACATAAAATTTTCTTAGTGAATGTCATAATAGAACATGTGTCAATGCATATGATATAGCATTAACTTTATGCCCACGGGTTAAACTATATGTCTATGAAGATAATATATTCGTTGATTTTGTTTTTTCCGATCTTCTTTCTTATTATTATTATGACTATTCTCTTATCATTATAGTTATTTCCATCGTTCAACAAAGTTCAGTTGACAACCATGACTCAGTGCTGAGCACAAGTGACATTAATGATGAGATCAAAGAGTATATATTTACGAACGATCGAATATAATATTTATAAGAAATGCACTAAATAAAACATCTTGTTTAACAACTTATCTTGAGACAAATTTGATCAGACAAAACAAAAAAAAAAACAAAGAGAACCTAAGAAATAGTTTTATTCTATTTTTATTTTTGATTCTAATTTCTATCTTCTTAAAAACTCGACTAAGATTAATTGATGAAATATTCTTATAAAAGAGAAAAGAAAACAGATTTCTTTATGTAAAAAAGACAATAATGGATCACGCATCATTTCTCTTATTCTGACTTTTTCTTTTTGTTTACATATAGACATTAAGATGAAATTCTTCTCTTTTCTGAACAAGAAAGAAACTGGAATAGATTAATCCATACCAAAGAAATTCATTAATTAATTGATAGCATGTCATCATTAACATAGATTCATTTTATTATTGTCGATTATTTATTTTCAATACATATACATAGACAGATGTCATAGAAAAGTTTTATACATACATATGTGTATAAAACTTAACATACCATTTTATTTATACATACAAAATACAATTGATAATATAGAAAAAAAAAAATACATCAATGTAAATTTATCACAAATAAATCAAGCAAATTCTGTATAAATATTATCATTCATTCTTGGTGAATAACTTCGTTTGAAACAATTTTTATATTGATATATCCATATGGATATTGTTTCATTAGATATTTTATCACAAAATGATAAATCAAGAAATTCCAAATATAAACAACGTTTTAATATAGATTCAATTGTTGTTTCAATAATTATACTTGAACCAAGTAAATCAAGTTGACGTAATTGTGGACAATGTTCACTGACTGCTATTATATCATCATTATTAACACCTAATTTAAAAAAAGAAAAATATTAGATTTTCTTTTAAAGACTAATCATTTTTCAATTAAAATAAAACTATTATCTATTCAAATATAGATAAACAATGATATACAAAGTATTATTTGGGATTTTACTGATAGATATATTATTTTGTATAGATTAGACTTGAAATTTTTCTAAGTACGTAGAATTTATTTTTGCTATTTAAACTTACGCCGACAAGCTGATAAGAAAAGTTTAATTAATGAATGTCCAATTTGTTGAACAAAATTTTTAATAAAACCTGATGGTGGATCTGTCCAACCAAGATCTATTTCACTTAAATATTTCATATGTATTATTGAATTAATTTCCATAGGCATATGAACTATTGAATAAATAAGAGCTAATTCTTCTTGTTCATCTTTAGATAAATTTAATATTCGTCGTTTTTCTTCTCCAACATCAAATTGTAAACCAATAAGAGATAAAAATCCATTTTGTGTTAAACCATATGTACGCCATAGATCAATTGAACGAAGATTCGTACAACGGAAAAATAATAATTTAATTATACCAATTGTATCACTTAATTTTTGACAACTACCTAAAAATAAAAATGAGTAATATAAATATTTATTGTAAAATTTCTTTTTGTTTTTGTTTTTTTTTTGATCACATGATTGTACTTATTGATACAACAACATAAATAAGTCATGTACATGATAAATAGTTACTCATTATTTTTGAATAATAGAATTTACGTCGTTTTTATATTTCGTACTCAATTGCGTATGTTGTTGAGATCAAGTGACTTATCGAGATATTAATATGATAATTATCTAAATGTAATTATTTGAATATCTATCTGTTCTAATCAAATAAAAAATAAAATAAAATTTATGACTTAAAAATCAACAGAAAAGAAAAATCTGTTCATGAAGTATACTAACTAATCAACTAGTTATTTTGAGAAAGAATCTATTGTCAAAGCTTCATGAAGACATACAATGTAATACTCATATATCTCTTGGGGTTTCTAGTAGTAACAAATTCTATTTTATTGTGTCACGAGCAAAGGAAAAATTGTTTCAAAACTTTTCATTCATTCAGTAACTCACATAACAACTAATCTTGACAAATATCTATGCTTTGTTTTTCTTGATATTCTTCAATAAGAATAATTATTTCTTGATAAGAATTAATAAATTTGATGTTTTCATATTTAAAATTATTATTTAACATAAACAAAAGGTCCTTCAATGGGTATTTGAGGTTACTATTGCCAGTAGAAAGACAAAAATTTGATTTTTATATTAGACTTCATATTTCTTGGTTTCTTAATATTTTTCTGTAATAAAAACTTGAATTGAAAATTAGTAGCCATTGAAAATTTCTGACAGTTAGTAAAAAGTAGGTCAGAAAAGTGAATTTCAGATTTCAAAATTGGAAAATATATACTTTGAGACGTCTTTAGATTCCTTGAGTTTTGAATTAACTCTTGAAACTCACAGAACTCAAGCAATTCGAACAACTGAAACGACTCTAAAAACTCAATAATTGGTTGAAATTCAGATAACAGATCAACCGTAGCGTTTCAAACGAAATTAACACAATCACACTTTGTTTACTGAGAAAATTTCAATAACTACCGTGGTGTCTTACATTCAAAAATTCCGAATACAATAAATATTATGAAAAATGGCAAATTATCACAGCATTTCCAAGAGTTTCGAACTCATGAAATTCAGATATGTCTCAAAGATTTAAAAAGAACTTTGATATATATATATATATATTCTTTTTACCTAAATTAATATTTTCTAAATTTTTTTTATTATTATCAATTAATGGTAATAAAGTTCTATAATCAATTTTAGTTCTATAAACATTTAATGATCGTATACGATTAAGATATTTTAATGGTATAAAATCTAGATTATTTAATGAAATACAATTTTCTAAATTTAATATTTCAATATTTGGACAATAATTAACAATTATTTTAATATATTGTCCATTTAAATATTGACAACAAGCAAGATTAAGTTGAATAATATTAAATGAACAAATATTTAATAATTGATTAAATGATGAATATTGTATTGATTTAGTCCAAGCTAATGAAAGATATCGAGTTTGTGTACAATGATATAAAAAAAAATTTTCTATTGCAAAATTTGTTATACCATTCCAATATGGTTGTAAATTAAGTGATTGAAATTGTAATGGATAAAGACATTGATTATGTAATGAATGACATGTTGATGATAAACGAACTAATGAACGTAAATCAAGATAAGAACAAATTAGAAATAAAATATCAAATGGAAGTTTAGTTAAATCCATTGATGAATTTATTTCTTCATTTTGATTTTCAATTATTGTCTAAAATTAAATTTCAATTATAAACAAAAAAACAAAATAATAATAATAATAATAATTTATAAATATTTAACTAACCTCTGAAGATGATAGAATAGTAGATTTATTATGATCTTCATTTAATATTGAATTATTCAATAGAGTTTTTCCATATAAAATAACTGTATCAATTTCTGAATAATAATTAACTGTACTATGATCAAATTCCAAACGAATAAATCTTGTTGGAAATGAAAATTTATCTTTTAATGGAATTTTAACAATACGTGGTAAACATGCAGCTGGTGGATACCTATGACGTGTATGGATGTTTAATATTTGTTTATTATCAGTATTTAAACGTGATGAATGAAGAATAGATGATTTAGTAATGATATGATTAGGAAATAAATCTTTCATTGATTGACGACCTAAATGATTAATAATTTTTAAATTAATTTACATTATGATTCTCTTCATATTCTTTCGAATATTAGGGAGGAAAAAAAGTATTGCTAGGACATATAGAATCTTGTTTTTACGATTTGATATCATTTTTCAATTTAAGACAAGTAAAACGAGAGTTCGCGTTTTTGAAGTTTTTCGCAATTTGTAAATTGAAATCTCTTTTAGTTAAGACTTAAGAAAAACAGAATCCATTGTTTAATATTTCATCAATTTGAAAAGTAGTACAAAATTGTAAACAATAAATTTTGTGCATTTTTTTTTTTGAATGAATAATATTCAAAAGCAAAAATGACAGTTATTGAATAATTCACCTTACGAGGGAATCTCTCTAGGTGTCAAATCTCTTTCTGCTTGAGGCCATATTCATTTGATGAATAATAGAACACGCATGTGCGATCTAAGGGGACCACAGTTTTTTGTTGAAAAATCTGAACAAAAATTTCGATATTTCAAGAATAAAGGTTTGGAAAAACAAGCTATTCTAGACTGTTCTATTAATCATCAAATAAACATCGTTTCGATCGAAAAGCAATTTGATACCTGGAGAGGTTTCGGCGGTCGTATATCAATAAAAGATAAAATATTGATTTAAATATACTGTCAAAAACAAAAAACATAAGAGAGTAATCTTATAACTCAAATAAAAATTAACTTAATCTTATATATATATATCATTAGTAAAATGGTAGAACGAAAACTAGAATGTTATTTGATCAAGAAATCGATTAAAAAACAAAACATGCAAAGAAAAGCTTTTATAACTGTTCTATACTATTTAAAAAATCTTATGAATATTTAAATAATAAGTTTTTATATCTAATTTAAAATAATCTTACCATTTTCAATAAAAAATTCTTCATCATTTTTCAATATAATACTAAATGGTTCAGGAAATGTCCAAATACGATGCCATATTAAATTTCCATATTCATCTTCTTTACCAACATAAACAACTTCAAGTGAACCTGGATTATATGTTTCATAAATATTTAAACTTAAACATTCATAAGTAAAATCTTTAAATTCAATATCAATAAAATCTCGACTAGTAAAATGATTTTCCCAACGTGTAAAATTTTTAATTGTTTCTTTATATGATGGCATATTAATCCACCATGGACCATATGTACGAAAAACAAGTGCATGTGTTGAATCACCATATAAAGGATATATTTCAGGATTTGAACATACATTTGATACAACATAACTATCACTACCATTTGAACCATATTGTGATGAAAAATCACGTATAGCTATTGGTATTAGTTCTTTTATTGTATTAATTGTTTTTGATGTTTCATATTCAATGATATCATTATTTTCAGATGTATCTTCAATTGTTTCAGTTAAATTTAATAAATTCATTAGCTGATTACGTAATAGATACAGTCCAGTAAATGTTAACATCATGATGTTCTGAGATTTAAAAATTATCTTAAACAAAAAACCAAATAAAACATTGAAATTTTCTAGTCCTTGAATGACGTCAATATATTGTTTTCTTTATATGTCATATGATTTAGATGAGCAATCTTTTCAATATGTATATGATTCATAAATGTACAAAGTGCAAAAGAAAATAAATAAATTGCGGGGACACTAATGTTTGATTAATTTTTAGATATTACCAGAGAAAAAAAAAACAACTTGAAAAGAAACGAAAAATAAAATTATTCATGTGTTTCCTAATGTATATCAAAGTATAAAAGAAGACTTAACACACATATTGGAATAATAAATTAAAATTTTTTTCTTATGGCAACTATAAAATTTAATGATGAAAGTCTTGCAGAAAGCGATGAGGTCTTCTTTCCAAATACTTATATGATCGATGTAGAACCAGATTATAATAATTTTACAGCCATTCAAAATACATTACAATATGATAATGAACAAAAACAAACAAATATAGTAAGTCATCATTGATCTTCAATTCTTGAATTTCTTTTTTTTTTTTTGAAATTTTCTAAAAATCTTTATCTCAACAGATACATAAGTTAACAATATAATCAATAAATTATATTAAAAATAATTTTTTTATTTCGATTACGAGAAAAAAAAGGTTTTTGACTATCTTATTTTCATTTTATTTAGATTACTCATTATCGTAATCATTCAAGTGATAATCAATATCGAGCAATACATACTCAAATTGAACCATCTTCATTACGTCATTCTCATTCTAATCAAATACTTGATATAAATACTCAAAATTCATTTAATTCTTCTACTATTCCTATAAATATTCAATCAAATAAAATCGATGGGCATATATTTAATTTAACTAAAATAGTTACAGATATAGGTTGTAACCTTGATAGTCCATTTCTACGTGCGTCATCAAATTCAAGTACAAAAAATGTTAGTGCCTTATTAAATATCGTATTAAGCATGGGAGGTGCACGTGGGCCCCTTGTTAATGTTTGGCGTTCGCATATTAATAATGATTATTTTCAAAGATGGTATCTTGAGAGATATTACCCACGTTCTGCATCATTGATTCAACGTAATACCCTACATAATATGAATAAAAAAACAACGCAATATGCACAAAATCGTGAGTATAAATCACACTTAGTTATTGATCATTTAGTTTCAAACGAAATATTACCAACAAAACAAATGATGAATGAAAATTATTATCAAAATGAAATTAACAAAATGTATGGCTATGATCAAATGAATACCATGAATACAATATCGAATTATTCTTCAGTAAATGGAATAGAATCAAACAATAATTTAAATTTTAATCCACAGTCAAATTATCCTTCAGTAAATGGAATAGAATCAAACAATAATTTGAATTTTAATTCACAATCAAATTATTCT